TAGTTTTGATTTTTTTAATCCTTATTAACAAGTTTAAATACCTCCTTCATAGATAAATCCAATTATGGTATATCTTCTACTTATTTCTACATCTTCTACTAATACTTTCAATTCATCAATTCCTCACTTCTTTTAAATCTTCTGATGATATTTTATATTAAGCATTGTTTTTGTATTTCTAATCTTTTTTTTTCTATTTTTTCTCTTAAAACTGTTTGATTCTATCTTTTATTCTCTTAGTCTAATTTATTGAAAATAGCAGTTGTTTTTTCATCAATGAATTTCTACTTCTATGAAAAATTTTTTATTTCTTATTACACGATTTTTACTGTATTTTCAACTATTTTTTACTAAGTTTTTATTTTAAAAAAATTTTATTATTTTTCCAATTGTTCGTATTTTCAAGGAATTTGTTATAATTATATATTGTTTCTTTCTTTCTTAAAACATAATTTTTCTTTCTTTTGTCACAAAAATTAATTCTTCTTTCTTCTTCCTTTTTTGTTTCATTATCATTCTTGTTGATTAAGTCAATTCTCCAACAATATTCATTCTTTTGATCTTCAAATTCTTTGTTGTTGTAACTCAATACTTTTAGGTATTGTTATTTCCAATCTTGTTTTTCATTCTTTTTGTTATTTAAAGTGACTGCACTTATGTTACAATTATCTTTGTTATTACACCTAATAATCCTTTGTCCTTCATATACCATCTTTGTTCTTTTGTTTCTCATCTTTTTGGATTTATCTTATTTTATCAAGTAACAAACCACATAATACTTTGGTAAATTCAATGTACAAATATCTGAAAATGGAAGAACATAATATGTTGTTGTAAAAAGGAATAGTTGAAAGTTCTATTCAGTACCATCTAAAACTTTGAGGATTTAATTAAAATTATCTGAAACAAGTAAAGTTCTAGACTCTATGAGTTGTTATTTCTTCAACCTATCAATAACTCTTATCTTTTTTACTTCAAATAATAATCATTACAAATAAACCAGATAACAAAGTAAGACTGAATTAGATGTCATCAACTGTAATTGCCGATACAGGACAAACTGAAACACACGAAAGTGCCTTACAACAACTATCAACATTTGTTGCATTTGACTTACCATCTATCATCTCATAGACTTGAACAGGACAATTTTGAACACAAGCCTCACACCCAATACAATCATCTTGATTGATTGTAATTTTAACAGTTTTACTTGTAAATACTTTTGACATGATAAAGATTAGTTTAATTGTGCTTAAATATTAGATGGAATGAAGTGATGTTGAATAATAATCACTTTTTGACTAAGGAGAGTTTGTTTGACTTTCTGTCTGAAAATGTTATTTAGTACAAAAAAAGAAAATATAATCTTAAAATAGAAAGAACTCAAAAACTCAAAAACATAAAAAAAGAAACTCTAGAAAAATATTAAAGTAACGAAAAAAACATGAAACAAAGAAATAATAGACAACTCAGAACTAAAAAAAGTTGAAAGAAAATCAATGAGTGAAAAACCCACATCAATTAAATTAGTCGTTGTTGGGGATGGTGCTGTTGGAAAAACTTGCCTCCTCATTTCATATTCAATTAGAAAGTTCCCTGAAGATTATATTCCTACAGTATTCGATAATTATGTTGTGTCATTAACCGCAGGCACAAGACAAATTCAATTGGCGTTGTGGGATACTGCTGGACAAGAAGAGTATGATCAATTGAGACCATTGAGTTATTCATCTGCTTCAATATTTTTAATATGTTTCTCTGTCACAAGTTCTGTATCATATGATAATGTAATGTCAAAATGGCACCCTGAAGTTATTCACTTTGCACCAAAAGTTCCTATTATATTAGTTGGAACAAAACTTGATACTAGAAATGATCCTGCTATTGTTAAAAGACTAACAGAACAAGGTATGACTGTTATTAATACTGCAAAAGGAGAAGAACTTAAAAATCGTATAAAAGCTGTCAAATATATTGAATGTTCTGCAAAAACAAGCGAAAATTTAAAGACAGTTTTCGATGAAGCAGTTAAAACTGTGTTAATGAATAAACCACAGCAAAGATCAAAGTGTGCTCTTTTATAATTCACTTTTAAATTAAAAAGTAACATTATTAATTCTCTTTTGATAATTTTATTCTATCATTATGTAATTATTTATTTAAAATCAATTCTCTTGCGTTTTGTTTTTTAAAAATATAAAAACTAAAA